AATTAAATCTAACCTAAATCTAACTAGAAAAGTAGTGCGGATTAAAGTATCTTTTTTTCTCTTCACTTTTTGTGGGTTCTACACAGTCCAAACAGATCATCATGATATCTGCTTGTTGAATATAACTTGACCTTGAACGAATCCATAGGGTTAACTTGTCGCCCAAGTAGTCAATGGTAGTTTTGAAATAAAACATATCCAGCCGGAGGGATCTTCTGGGGGGGAGTACTGAATTAAGTAGTATTGTGAATTGCGTGTTTCATGCACATACGTACAAAGCTGATAGACACAGAGAGTGAGAGACACAAGGAGATATGAGAAAGGAAGGTGGCAAGGAGGGCCCAAAGCCATTGAAGGAATAGGGAACGAAAGTGGTCCATGTGTGGCAATACATGTCTCCTATATAAGTCATTAACGTGAGAATCATGTTAGGTGTCACATTGGACTACCTCTTTCATGGTCCCTTTACTAAATGTCCATGTTTGAGTTCTTGAGTGTGTTCTGGGAGGCACTTAAACGAGGGTTTCACATGCCCTCGTAACCTCTACCTCACAACACACCACGTGCCTCCCCTCTTGTTTTATTCATCTCATTCCCCTCTCCCTTTGATCACTTCATTAATTCCCTCTCTTCATCCCATGAGTTATTTAATTCACGTTCTTGCCTGATAGTGACTTCATATATAATTCCTTTCTCTCTCGCTCTTGTGTAATCAATGCACTCTTCATCCTCAGTCAATTTATGCAGAGAAATCATACAGTTCTCTGGATTGTGATGGTTTTTCCTGGATCAATCTCACTAATTAATAAGCATGTATATATTCTTGGGAATTAAGTTTTACCAGTTATTATATAGTACTACTACTATTAATTTGGATATTAATTAATTGTTGTGAGCTGACAAAGCTCGAGGAGTTTCATTTCTTGCCTTGGATGTGTCTCAGAAACTGAGTTTCAAGTGGGGGTGTGTCTGCAAGTAAAATATTATCAGTTGTTTCAATCAGATCTTTCTACCCAGATGAGAGACCATTCTTGTTTCCTGTTTGCTTGAATAGGATTACATGGGGCACACTGCTTCGTGAATTGTCCGTGTATTTAGAAGACAATGCCATTATATATTAATTTGCACCAGTTGCTGATTAATGTGAAATTAATTCAGGGTTTGCAAACTTTTATACGTTTTTAAGACATCATTTGTCTGCATATATCAAAATGTTATAGTCAAAATCCATGCTTCGGTCGCTTTCAAGTTTTTTTCTTTGTATTTTAGCTGATGGGGTCAGTTTCTCGAGCCTGTTATTATTATACTATAGCATTTAATCGATTATTTTAATCCCATCATGGAATTTTCCATTAAATTGAAATTACATTGGAACTCTAAAAATTTTTCCCTTAAATTTCGGGCAAAAGGTTCACATTCTTATTGATTAATTTACTTGAGATTTCGAAAGTTATCTCTCGCAGAATCTGAATCAGATATCACGGTCTGCTAAAGAAATTTACTGTTCACGATCTATTGTCAATACGTGCTTTTTATCGTTGAATATATACGCATATCAGTACAATAGTACTATTAGTACTCTGAACAATGTCTTGGCTTAGGTATAATATACACGGGAGGGTACAACACGCACTTTGAAAATTAAAATACTCTCTTGATCCTTAATATAGAACCCAATTTTTGAGTTGATTTTGATTATAAATATAAGACTCATTTCTCATATTTATTAATTTTCTTTAAATTACTCCTATAGATACTTCCTCAACCATAATCAAATAGAAGAGGGAGAAGGGATATTAAGAAAGATGGTTATAGTGTTTTAGAAAAAATGTGTCACTTTTATTATAATTAACTAACTTATCTAACTTCCTTAATCTAATCAAATTAGTTAAATGGGTTTTATATTAAGGATTGGAGGAGTATCTAATCATCCTATTTAAAGGTAGATTATATAGTGAGTGCACGACGTCAAGAAAGAAGCATGGTAGAGAGACAAAAGGGCTTTTCACGCAAATAAAAAGTAAGAAAGAACATGAATATATATCGATTCCCCGTAAAAACACAAATAAATATACACACACAAATTGCATCGTGTCTTGTCTTTGATTCTGTGGCTTGTCTCTAGGTAGCTTGCTTTTTATTATGTTTCCACACGACCCAACTCAGCCTCGAAACGCCAGAAAAACTAATATCATAGTACATATGTGCATCATTAGCTGTCTCTCACTGTTGGTGATCACAATATATATAAGGATGTTATGTAGATATATAATATTGAAAGCAAATAGGTAGAGCAGGAAGTTAAAACCATGAGAGAATTATAATGGGCCATGTAAATCAGTGAGCGGAGGTTTTTAACTCTTTGCTTCAACAACTAAAGCAACTCCATATTAAGCTTTCATTATTCGTCGCGTCAAACTAATAATTTATTATTATATCATACTAATTAACCGTTCTATATTTGGATCAACGCTCGCTTTCACTCAACTCTATATTTGTTTGTTAGTACATTATCTGTTAATAAAGCAGGATAGATTCTTTTTTTCTTTTCTTGGACTTTCTTTCTTTATTTTTCGCTTTCTCACTTCTCTAGCTCCCTCCCATGTGAATACGACCTAATGGAATCCATTTGAATATCCAGAAATCAGGTAGCTACATAAAAAAACCAAGGGCGGAATCGATCGATCGATTGCCCCTCTCAACTGTTTTACGAGTTTTGGAGCAATTATTATTGCTTTCCTTCAACCCTTTTGAATCTACCTACCTCTTTACAATTATAATAATTAATTAAACATTGCTTTCCGCTTAATGAATTGGATTATATAATTACTTTAATTATGCCTCTCGCCCTTCTGTTGTGAAGATTTACGGGAAGGTCAATCCCACACCGCCACCATGTCCATGTGGTGGATGATCTCTCGTCTCCTTCGGCTCTATATATATTTTTTGTGGGCCTCACTCAGTTGCGAACCACCTGATTGAGAATCTTTCTTCTCACATTATTATATAATTAAATTCATCATATCACCAAACAAATTATAATTCTCAATTTCAACTGTATAATCTTATAGGTATAAAACAATATCAAGAACCAGTATTGGTATCATGTTTCCTCTATTATACATCAATCATTTAAAAGGAATTAAAAAAATAAACTAATAATTAATTAGGTGAGCACATTAACGCGATATTCCACTTTCTCTCGCGGTTTTGAATCTGAACACTTTTATTTGCTTGATATATATGAAAGTAAGGTTCAAACCCACCATGGTGGCCGTAAATTGGTAATAATAATATATCAATATTCAATGTTGGTATCTAACTTTGACCCATCGATGGATATGATATATATTCCTTTGAAAGATATGCTTACGTACATGATGCGCTCTCTAGCTCGGAAAGTATTATATTATAATGTTATTGACAATATTAGCAAATTTATACTCTCAACTACGCATGTACTGCCACCTTTTCCCAATCCCAAAATTCTGACTGGGAACCAGCGAGAAAGTTTTGTTGGGTTCCTGGGATCTAAATATCGACCAGAACGAAGTAACAGCACCAAAAAAATAGTCTTTAAGTTGTTGTCAAGAGATTTAGATAAGGAATGTGAGACTAACAACACCTCGTTCTTTACATGTAGTGTAGATGACCAAAATCTAGGCGGAACAACAGATATGGTGTCGAATTTCATCCAGGACAAACAAAAGTTGTGTTTCCAATATATATATTTGAAGTTGGAGTCAATGATATGAAATGCTGAAACATGTCCCGTTGATCAAGCAAATCTAGAGAGAGAGAGGATGAATAAAACGTATCCATCAAATGGAAGTTATATGTATGTACATTCTGTGCTCCTCGCACAAGATGTGTCTGAACATGACGATGAATTAAGTCAATAAATTAACAAGGGTTGAAAGTAGTATTACACGGGTTCATACAAAAAGGGGGGGGTGCATTGTGCAAAAGCAAACAAGTAAATTAATGATTAAGGAGGTTGAAAAACCAGAAATGCCGACAGAAAAGGGATGGGGTGTTGGAGGAAGGAGAGGGCATATGGACCCTGGTGTGGCCAATGCCCCCACAGGACCTGGCTCCACATTTGGACCCATTTCCCTCTAATCTCTTGTCGGTATGGCTTCTCATGTCCCTCTTCGCCTCCACTTAAACACCCCCCTCTCTTATTTACTGGCTATGGTATTAACTACCCATATATCACCACTAATTTGAATCGAATCAGATTTTTCTAATTTTAATTAATTCTTTTCTCTTTTCAATACATGCCAATCTCCGAAAATCTCGTTAGATTTTGACTAACTGGAATCAAATTAAGTTTAGTGACATAATATAAATGGGTGTAAAATTATCCTCATGATAATTTTAACTCAAAATCTTGTTGCGGAGGGACAAGTATAAAGCCAGTTAAAGTAAGGTTGGTGGTTTGTTTAATAAACAAAAGTACATAACCACCACTAAGGATTTCATTCAAGTACCCACGCGAGTGCTGTAACGGTGGGACACACTTCCTATTCATTCAAGTTACCAAGTACTATCAATTGAGTAAGACCTGGGAGCGTGTACTTCCAGTGATATGTTTGGGGCGGTGCTCAAAGCGCGTTTGATCTGACTATCTGAGGTGTTTAAAAACACTTAAAAATACTTCTCAAAAATATTTTTTCTAAAAACAAAACAAATTTTATATATTTATTTTATATATTGTAAAAATATTTTTAAAATTATAGTTTAGTTTCTACTCAAAGACTTCGCGAGTAATACTACCATGCTCCTCATCCATTTATTCATTTGTTTTAATTTATTAAGTAGTAAACCAGCCTCTCTCTCTCTCTTTCATTTTCCATATTGATTTTGGTCAAAAGTATTATTTGTCACTACCACGTGGCACCCTCACCGTATGTGACTTCCATGTATAAATACCCCTCCCCATCACTCCCTCACCAACCAATCCCCTCTTTCAACATTTTCAGACTCCTTCCCCATCCGTCTCTCTCACTGCTAAATCTTCTCTCTCCGTCTTCTTCGATCTTCTTGCACCCTCTCACATTTAAGCCTATATTCCACTTCTTCTCCCCCTCACACACACAAACCCCTTCATATCCGTTGCCCAGAAGAGAAAAATGGGGCTCTTGTCCACAAAAGTCACGTGCAACAGTCATGGCCAGGACTCTTCTTACTTCCTGGGATGGCAGGAATATGAGAAGAACCCTTACGACCGGGTCATGAATCCCGAAGGAATTATTCAGATGGGTCTCGCAGAGAATCAGGTTAGACATTTTTTCTTCCTAGCCAGCCCCATAAAATTGGGGAAAAAAGGGGGACAAAACTAGAAGTCCCAAAAATGTACTAATTTGCGATATCTATCCTATTAAGCAAGCTCATACTTTACTAATCTACGTAACTGCTCATTAAGATGGTGGGGCCTAGCTGACTTGGTGAAATTTATGTTCAACAGCTGTCTTTTGATCTCTTGGAGTCATGGCTGGATAAGAACCCAGACGCGGCGGGATTCAAGAGTGCTGGGAAATCCATATTCAGAGAACTGGCTCTCTTCCAAGACTACCATGGCCTCCCTGCTTTCAAGAACGCATTGGTCGATTTCATGGCCGAGATTCGAGGAAACGCTGTCACTTTTGATCCCGACCACATCGTTCTCACTGCCGGCTCCACTTCAGCCAACGAGACCCTCGTCTTCTGCCTCGGCGAACAAGGCGACGCCTTTCTCATTCCCACCCCATACTACCCTGCGTAAGTATACATTTACCATCGTCATGTTTTTTGTATTCCACTGATCTTAAGCCTCTATGCATTGTCTCTGACATATGATTTCTGGCTTACAGATTCGATAGAGATCTTAAGTGGCGAACTGGGGTTGAGATCGTTCCGATTCAATGCAGCAGCTCAAACAACTTCCAAATTACTGAATCTGCGCTGCGAGAAGCTTGTGAGGAGGCCAAAAAGCGTAACCTCAGGGTGAAAGGCGTGTTGGTCACGAACCCCTCAAACCCACTGGGCACGACATTGTCCCGGGATGAATTGAATCTCCTCATTGACTTTATCAACGAGAAAAACATCCACTTGATAAGCGATGAGATTTATTCCGGGACCGTTTTTAGCTCCCCATCCTTCATCAGCGTCATGGAAATCCTGGAGGAAAGAAACTACCACAAGGATTCCCACCCTGATGTATGGGACAGAGTTCACGTCGTGTACAGTCTCTCAAAAGACTTGGGTTTGCCGGGCTTCCGTGTTGGCGCCATTTACTCCGAAAACAACACCGTTGTGGCCGCCGCAACAAAGATGTCCAGCTTCGGTCTGGTCTCTTCTCAAACTCAGTATCTTCTCTCTGCCTTGCTCGGAGATAAGAAATTCACGAAGAAGTACATCTCCAAGAACCAGAAAAGGCTTAAACGACGACAGAATATGCTCGTTTCAGGCCTACAAAAAGCAGGCATCAACTGCCTCAACAGCAATGCAGGATTATTCTGTTGGGTCGACATGAGACACCTTTTACAGTCCAATACCTTCGACGCCGAGATGGAGCTATGGAAGCAAATAGTGTACGAGGTCCGGTTAAACATCTCACCCGGCTCCTCCTTCCATTGCACAGAACCCGGTTGGTTCCGGGTCTGCTTCGCCAACTTGTCTCAAGACACTCTTAATTTAGCCATCAAACGATTGAAGAGCTTCGTTGCTGAGTCGTCACCGAGCGGAGCTCATCACAGTCGTGAAAGTTCAAAAACCAGGTCGCTCACCAACTGGGTTTTCCGGCTATCCTCACGTGTTCGTGAGCAAGAAGAACGATAGTCTGGTCACGTGGTCGTTGGTGTGAACGCATGCAAATTTTTTTCTTTTTTTTCCCTCGCTCCTAATTATTTCCGGGGAGGGTTAGAATATTTTTCATTATTTAATCTTTTATTACCGTCAGTTCTACGTAGGGAGAGAGACAGACACACAGAAAAGCACTCGGTCCATGTGGATTTGAAGTGTGCAGTTTAGTCAGATAGTTATTTCATTTTTCTGTAAGTTGGAAATGGAATTTTTTTCCCCTGTATTGTCGATGAAAAGTTATATATATAAGATAAACGTATTATTTTCTTCTGTAAATCATCTCATGTATTTATCTTCTTGAGTAATTAAATAACTATATCTCAGTGTGAACATGCACTTTGCCGACGTCAACGGCTACGACAATAATGGAGCCGGCGAGATAAGCGGCCAGAGAGTGTGGGCTGGGCTGCCGACGTTGGCGGCGGATCCTCCACAAGCCGACCTCTTATATTTCACTGTTTTGAAGGCGGATCAACAGGAGATATCACGCAGTGCCGGTGTGGGTCAGATGGAGGGCTAAAATGTCAATAATTAGGGTTTTGAAATTAAGACTGTACTTTCTATTTTCTATTTTCACTTTATGGCTCTCACGACTTGAGAGCTCTTGAGCTCAAAGAAAGGATTAATAAAATTTAGAGTTGGGGAGCTTTTTTGAAGTCGTCACCAACTACGCAAGCACGATCTAAAAGCTAGAGTTGCTTGCAAGAAATACTCTTTTTTTTCCTCGAAGATAGAAAAGGAAAAAAAAAACACATACGCTTTCGTTTAACTTTATGGGCGTAATCATGACAGTAGTGCTCAGAAAGTTTTTCTTGTTTCTTGATCATTCACAGATAATTACGCGGTGTGTCCACAAATCACATCGTCCCAAGGAACCTTTCGTGACGAGAAGCAAAAAGATTTGTTGGAATTGATGTGTCGAGATGGAAAGCCCTGGAAAACACTACCATTATCGTTATGACTCACACCATATATTCCCTAAATTGACGCATGCTTTATTTTGCCATCAACATGTCCCACTCCAGCACGTTAGCTAGCCTACTCCGATTCAAATATTGTCTCTTGTTGTTAAAAGTCAGTAAGGAGTTAACTTGTTATGATTCAAAGAGTATGAATTCAAATGCTGCTACTAATGTGAGAAATTTGTTAACGGACAATTTATATATACTTCTGTAAGTATTCTTTAAATCTTGAGGTATACTCTAACTTTGGTGAGCTTCTAGAACTCAACTCACATGAATTTTTATTACAAAAAAATATTGTCCCATGTCAATACATCAATATATCTCTAAAATATAATTTACAATAACCTTCCTGTAAATAAATCATGAAAAATATGACTCATTTTCATATTCTATGCAACTCAAGTGCGAGAAACACTTAGAGTAGATATGTCTATTTGCGTGTATATATGTGTGAGATTATATATTTTCAGTTTAAAAGTGTATAATGACTAAGTATTCAGTTTAAAAGTGTATAATGACTGAGTATTTCATCTACATGGCTCACGTCGTACGAAATAATATATTGTGTGGTCCCATGATCATATGTGAAGACATAACGAAAGATTATATACTGATAACCAGATTTAATTAATATGCGCAACATATATAGAATGTGAAGACTTCATTAGATTATTCCATTCCCAAAGAGAAAGAAAACCTACTATATATTAAGTAGGACATAGAATAAACAGTAACAGATTTTGTTAAGTTTTCTGGGAAGCAGATCCATATTTGATGCATGCCTGACGATCTATATAGATTTTTTTTCCCCAGTTATTAAGAAGGATTACACGCAAATGCTGCAGTATTGTCCGTTAATTTGAGGTCGCTCAAAGGTCATTAACAAGCTAGGGTGATCAGAATTATTGAAGAACAATAAGAAGATGAATTATTTTTTTAGGGGATTTCTATATATATAAAGCTTAGCTACCATGAAACATGGAAATGATTGACTTCTCAGAGAGAGAGAGAGAGATATATATATATATATATATATTTTCACATACCCAATCTGATATACTGTCTCGCCGGCCTGGTGACAGAGAAGAAATACAAGAAAGAGAAAGAGAAATCTTCTTCCTCTATTTTTAGGCACAGTGGTTGCTTTTAAATCATTGAGCACATGTAAGCAGAGCGCAAGTTGGCCATTAAGAAACAAACGCACATACACTAAATATTCAATGTCGATAATTTTCTCTTGCTTTTGATGATGTGTCAATTAATTAGTGACTGCCAATAATTATCAGAGTTATATTATATATGTACGCGTCTAGGATTCAAAAACAAATTGGCGAATTAAAAGAAGAAATTATTTTCGGGGAAAGAAAAAAGGAATACGGTACGTAATCCATGCAAAAGAGATAAGACAAAGAAAATTCTCGTCTAGTGTATGGGTGAATTGACTACAATCCTAGATTACTTAATCGTATAAAAGGCTTATCATTATTTAATAAATATTTCCGCAATAGTTTTTTTTAAAAAAAAAGGAATACTCTATTTTCCTTTTTCCGGAGACATAATCGACGGCTAACTCCATATTACTTGTGGAAACGAGCCATATATGGCCCTTCCATGTGGAGAGGAGCTTTGAAAGTGGCAATAAAGGATTACTAAATTATGATTATTAAGGTTACAATATATATTAAGTTGTGGGAATTTTGGTCGAAGTCCACTTTATTGTCAACTATATATGCATGTGCCTAGGTAGAAGCTAGAGTGTTGGTTTTGATGCTACACAATATTGGCCCTCACTTCGGGGAAATTTAAATACTTTGGTGGCCACAACTAACATATCATGAGGTTCGTTGTTGATAGGTCTGAATATAATAAGGAACAAATTAGAGGTGGCGAAAAGAAGGAAAAGACTATATATATATATATATATATATATTAATTATTGAGAAAAAATATTATATATTTAAAAGAATTATGGACCTGAATTCTGCATTTGATTATTATCTTGTCATTAAACAATTATATGTTTCACTATTTTCTTGAAAGCTGAAACATGTCAACACGGTTTTCTGTTAGGATTTGCTGAGACGCGTCTGGGATTTTGGACGGCAGCGGAGCATGAAACTATATCTATCGCATTATGCTTTGAAGATTCGAAATACAATATATCTTCAAAAATAATAACCATAAAATGATGAAGAAAAAAATATATTTGTTGTATTAGTTTTCTATTTTTTTTCATCGAATTAATCAAGGCCCAGCTTCTCACAGATTTTGATTTTATTTTATTCATTTCATGGTGTTATTAATGAGCTCGTGAACTGAAATTATTCATTCAGACTGGTTACATATATATGTTAATAAATTATACTTCGAGGGGGGGGGGGAAAAAAAAAGAGAAGGAAAGAAAGAGGGACAAGGAAAATGACAAGTGTAGTAAAACGCAAAGAAAGGAATGAGTAGGTGAGAGATCGAGGTATGAGGCAGACATGAAATCTGTTGATTAATCGAAATGTTAAATTAAGTTTAGACATGAGAAGAACAATTAGACAGCAATTACCCATGCATTGTCTCCTTGACAATAAGATCAAATAATATAATATCCATGTAGAGTTTTTTTTTTTTTTTTTTTGACCTTGGTATCCATGTAGAGTTGAAAATGCCTCTTTCACTTTATCCTCACCATCCAACCGCCCTCCTTCCCCAGTGCCTACATATGTCTTCTTTATTATTTCTATCCCGTTTAACGTATTTCTCAGTATATATAGTTTGATTTCTATTTACATGAAACATATATGCACTCATACCTTAAATACCGCCCCTGGGCTCTAAATATATAAGCCTAGCTAGTTAAAGTATTTATTTTTTGTTTTTAAATATATAGAACTCAATCCACTTTATTTCTTAAATTTATAATTTTTTCCCTAAACTATCCATATTTATTGCTCCTGCCTCGAAGGAGATTTTTATCAAAGGGTAATTCTAATACAAATAATAAAGAGGTTATTTTTAAAAAAATCAATCCATATTTTTACCAAATAACTAATTTAATCAATTTTCTTAATATTTGAAAACTAGCTATCTGGTTTTTATATTAGAGAGTGAATATAGTATGTTATAACTAGTTTCGCATAGATCAATATACATAGTAAAAACATAAGAAGGGAAAATTAAAAAAAATATATATGCAGTTGTATATGCATATGCAAATCATATATGATGAAAAATAATCAAAAAAATTTTAGCTTAAAATTTTACAAGGAGATTATTAAAAAACGGTACACTTGAATGATGTATAATTAAAAACTTGAGTACAATTAAAACATAAGAGTTGAGGATACGTACACGAGAGGAAGGGAAAAGGAGAATATAGATTACGTAGGTATGGGTGACATGTGGGATTCACATGAAGGAGCACATGGAAGGGAACAGAGAACACCTGCACAGATTGAAAAGTATGGCACTTTGGAGGCCATTGGGGTTCTCAATTCACACTATTCCCCTCTCACTCTCATTTATTGAAGAAGCTATCCATCATTTTTGCTTACTTGATGCAGACATCAACAAGGGTCAAAACCAGCGTCCCCTTCCCTCTCTCTCTACCAATAATTCACTTTCACTCCATAACCCTATATAGCTATTATGCATTCAAATTTTAGTACCTCCCTATTTTGGGTCCCATTCTCTTCTCTCCTCATGTTTCATTCACTTATCAATGGTGCTATTGTCTCTACTACCACTTTGGCCTCCCTCCTTGTCCTCTCTCTCCCTCTCTGTGTGTTTGGATTAATTAATTAAATTGATCGCGAGCAGCCCTATCCATGTAATTGCCTTCGTCTAGTCTTAGTTTAATGTCACTTAAATACCCATATGTTCTGTCGCTTTGAATCATTATTAGTACTACTCGATCGTCTTCCATGGAACGCCAGTTAAAGATAACCTAACAATACGACCAAATCATCTCTTTTTTATTAGCCAAATCAAATCAGCACATTTTGATGGGTATCAGAAGTTGTTTTGGGCGATTAAAAAAGATTCAAATCTCTTCAAGTCACCAGTTTGATTGGAATAATATCCATACAACTTTTTAAGACCCCTTTTTTTGGGGGGCTAAGATCAGAAATCAACTTTTGTTACAAAATAAAAAAAAACAAGTGGAACAATAAAATACGACTTCCATTTTAAAATATATTTTTCAAAAATATTTTTGTTATATAATTTTTCCTCATAATTATAATTTCTTAAACTGAGGAGTGAGGACCACT